CTAGCTCTGCCTCTGATCAAGACAGCCTTTCAGATAGTGGAATGCAGAAGTGCCTACTTGGTCTTCCTAAGGCTTCACCATCCTCTGCTCTCCTGATGACCTTCAGGATTTCTCTTGAGCACACTACTGACTGTCCTCAGAAGTACATGCATTGCTAAGCAAGGTGGTGCATGCCTGTAATCCCAGCACTTAGGAGGCTGAGGAAGGAGGATTGCTATGAGTTCAAGGCCAGCCTGGGCTACATAGCAAGACATTGTCTCAAAAAACAATAAAAGAAGTTGATACGACACATCGAAGAGTAGGCATCTATTCCTCTTATACAGCAGCAGCTAGTGGTTAAGAGTATATACCCTGAAGCCAGCCTGCTTGAGTTTGGATTCTGGCCCTGCCTCTGCCTGGCCAGGAATGCTAGGTAAGGCACTTAGCCTCCCCCCCACCCTCACTGTGTCTTGACCTATCTCACTCAGATGTGAGGAAGGCATGAGTTAGAATACACAGAGGGCTTCAAACCATGCCTGGGGGAGAGCAAGTGCTCAGTACACATTCACTGCTCTTAGGTATCCAAGCTCCTCTGGAGCTCCCTCCAGAATTGGAGGACAGGAGGGTCCTTCCTGAATCAATGTGGGCATGTTCCATGCTTTGATTTTCCAATTTGACCGTGGCTATAGCCCCATACTGATTCAGGACCTTGTTTATGAAAAACTATACATACCTGAAGTATCTCCAGGGGGTTAAGAAAAACCCGGAGAGAAGAATCAAACCTGTGAATGGGGACTAGAAACTGACTGTAGCAATGCCATGGGAAGAGTACCACACTGCTTGGGGAGACCAGGGTACATGGGTTGTCTCACTCAGGCTGTCACTTCCAGAGGCAAGCAAGGTTGGATTTTCTGTTAAAAACCTCAGATGGGCTGAGGGTATAGCTTAGTGGTAGAGTGCTTGCCTAGCATAGCATGCATGAGGCCCTGGGTTTGATCCATAGTTCATTAAAAAGGAAAAAACAAAGCTCAGGCTCTGTCCTGCTTGGCACTCCCTCATGGCCTCTGCTGTTATGCAGGGACTGTCTTTCCTCTGCTGTCCAGTGTCTATTACGGCACAAAATTAAAGACAGACATGGTCTCAGAGGGTGGACTTTTCTCCCAACTTTTTTACAGTAACTCTCAATAAGAATATATTTTACCCTGTGATTCTGTAAATAAAAGCTTTATTTAACAATCTTTGCTATAAGCGAGTGCTCTGATATATTCTGTATTTTTCTATTTGAGCTCATTAATAAGAGAAATAAAATGTTAGCTGCAGTCCACTAAATTGATGCCACACTCTCAGGTCCTCTGGAACTTGAAAACATTAATTCAGTGAACTAAATGAGTTCAATAGTTTCCCAAACTTCAGTCAGTGTGCACCATAGATAACACTTTCAAACCTTTAACCAGATCCGAGGCAAACTGTTTATGGAATCAGATTATCTTTCTTTAAATAAATTCACTTCAGCATTTTTAAATGCCCATTCTAGCCTAAATTAAATGTTGGTGAAATTGCAAGTTTGACTCAAACTGTATTTTCCCGCAGGACACATTAAAATATTTAACTATCAAAATAAAAAATATTTCTATACTTCCTAAAATCACCTTGCACACTATTCCTCACTTGGGGAATCACAGATCTAGAGATTTGTTCAAATGCCTCATTTTATAATGGAGTAGAGGGCCCCCTTGAGGTGAATCCACATACCTGAGGTCACCAGCAATCACAGTTGCCTAGATATCTCAGACAATGGGAAGAAATGTATTGTCTTGGGCCATCCCTGGCTAAATACTGGGCTGAATATATTAGTCTTATCACTTTTGGAAAGATGCCCCATGCTATAATTTCATCAGGAATCAGATATGCAAATAGATACCTCGTGGAAACATTTTAAGACTTTCCTAGGTTCTACACATTCTAATTTTTGGAGGTTCTGATTCATATCATATGATGCGTATTAGAATTTATTCACATTAGGATATATTACTTTCAATTTTTTTTCCTGTTTGTAATTTGAAGCCAGTGAGTTTTTCAGGGCTATAGCTCCTTGGATAGTTCACAGGCTAGAATGACAGCTGGTTGTAACTAATGGATTAAAGTGGTCTTGGAAATGGTAAAGGAATCTGACCAATGAAAACATACCAAGGAGCAATTTAATTACTTAAGGCATATCTCCTGGTCTTTTTGAAAAAGGGAAATGGGTAACTAGGAGAATTAACTATATATTCTGTCACATGGGTAGGGGCAGAACCTTTATGGGTACCCCAAGTGGCATGTGACTGGCAAGGTGTCTTAGCGCTGAGCTTTGGTGCCTTGCAGTAAAACAAAGGGATCAAAATACCTGGATGATTTTCAAATATTTTATTTTAGCATTGGTACTCTGTTGCAAATGAAATCTTAGAAAGCAAAGAGCAGACCTTGGATGGATAGATTAATTTCTGAGTCTAACAGATAAGCAGAGTAAGTTTGTGAGGGCATCCAGAGGAGTCTCCATTAGGCGCTTGCAAAGATGAAGAGGTTTCTTACAGATCCTGGAATTCCTGAGGATTTGAATAGATCTTAGCTCTAAAGAATAGAATAGCATTTTTCAAACTTCTTTGACAGTGACACACTAAAAATAAAGTTTGCTTCTAGACACGGCACACATGTTCTGAAGCATAAGTTTCATGAAATAGGCCTTTACACTGTAAAACAACAGACTGTCTTACTTCTGGCCTGAGCCAAGTATGTTTTGAGGGTATAAGCCACAAACCTCTTCTTGGGGATCAATGATCCTTCTGATCAAATGGTTAAGGAATTTTCTGATGAATTTTAATGGAATTAAAACTTTTTCTGAGAAACCAATTACCAACACATTCAGTTCATGCCAACTTTGCAGAGAACAAATGGCCTTTGGTGTCTTTTAACATCTTTCAAAAATTTTTTTCTTGTACTGTGATAATAATGATTTTTGTCCTACCAGTCTCTTTTTCTGTAAATTTCTCTTATCAAGATACCTGTTGGATTGGCATCCTAGGAGCCTATTCCCTTGATGCAACATTGTACTATAATGAAAACTTTAATATTGCTTTATAACTAAATCATTCAAATTTCTCCTTCTTTTCCTTCTCTCTTTCTATCCCTCTATTTTAAACAGTTTGATGTACTGATATTTTTTGTTCTATTTCATTTTTTAAAAGATGGTGATTGTGGCCTGGCGATTTAGCTCAGTGGTTTTGCTGCCTGCTGTGCAAGCGCAAGGACCCAAATTTGATCCCCGATACCAAAAAAAAAAAGATGGTGATTGTGATCTACTGAATTGATTTCATCAGCCTTTAATAGTTTTGACTGGAAGCTTAAAAACCACTGGATACAATCCTGTTGGGTCACTGTGCTAAGAGAGTGAAACAGAAACTATAGAAGGAACTATAGAAGGAAATGGAACTATATTATGAAAGGGAACTATAGAAGGAAACCAGGTAAGATAAAGGCATGTGGTAGGCAGTGAAGAACTCTCTTTTGAACTTAAAAATTAAAAGAGGCAAACTGCAAACTTTGAGAATATACTTGCAATGCAAATAAATTCTGTCCAGAATATTTAGGACTCATAAAATCAGTATAAAATGAGAAAGAAAATGAGCAAAGGTTATGAATAGGCATTTCACACAAAAGGAAACTTGCATGGATAGTAAGTATATGGAAAGATGCTCTACCTTACTAGTAGATAGAAGTGAATAGAAATCATAATTATTAAAACTTGGAAACTTGGAAGAGGAAACCCATAGAGTCGAAACTGAGACCGAAGCAGGGTGCAAGTGGGCACACTGGCACACACCTAAAATCCCAGCACTGAGGAATGCTGAGGTAGGAGGACTGCAAGTTTAAGTTCCACCTCAGCAACTTACCAGGATTGTTTCAAAATTTAAAAATAAAACAAACAGGAATGGGGATGTAGCTCAGTATGGAGGCCCTGGATTCAATCCCCAGCACCAAAATAAATAAATGCCATGTGAGGAGTGGGATGCAAAAGACTGGAGCCATGGGTGCCATAGTCAAGGAATATAGAAAAGTTAAGAGTTCATCAATACACTACAAGAGAGCAGCTGGTGAGTTCCAAGAAAGGAATGTATCCCCAGAAAGAAAGTAGGAATCTTTATAATTTGATTTTAACATGAGGTGTGGGTCTGGAAATCATCCTAGGGAAACTTCCTTTAGGTCACAGTGGTCTTACTTTCCATCCATCTCAGATCTAGAGATAGCCAGGTGTTGTTTGAAGACTAACTTTATGTCTTTGACAGGGTCCAGTACCCTTGGCATTGCTAAACAATCCCTCCAGGTACAGTCTCCCCAGGTAAAATTAACCAATGTGTAAAGACTAACTAAGGGTAGTGGCCAAGGGGCTGAGGATAAAGTATTTATGTTTATACTGGAAAGGGACTTTTGAAGTCTTGTTAGGATGGGGAAAGAAAAATAGTATTCTTCAAGTGATTAGAACATCTAATGTTGTATGTGTAGTTTGTGCATGGTAGCTCGAAAGGTGGGAGGTTAATGTTATACTAAAGGCTCATCAATCAGCTGCAATATGGTTGTTAAAGAAATAATGATAAAATAATCATGATTTTCTATAATAAATAGATAAATAAATAAAAACAAAGTGGAGGTGCAATAAAACAGGTTCTTCAAACAGAAAACTGCAAAGTGGGTTCAGCTGTCCCTCAGAGAAGCTGCTGCCGCCAGGATGAAGTGCTGCTGTTGTGAGTTTACTCACAGGAAGCATAAGATCGCAGGAAGGAGACAGGAAGCACTGTGCCTTCTCCTCAAGACTTGAATGCTCCCTCTAGTGCCTCTTGTTGGCAGCGCTCAACATGGAGCCAGGTGGCAAAGCAGAAATAGGCTGAGACCTATTTTAGGTCTTATTTTATTTTGTTTTAGCAATAACTGAGTATAGAAGGAATTTGGAACTAAGGGACACAGCCTAACTGCCACAGTCAATCCTATTTGCCAAGCACCATTTATTTTTAAATTTATGTACCTCTCCCCAAATGTTTTTCTAATATACTATTACTTCTTCCTCAAAAAGACACATGAAGTCCCAGAAGTCATTGTATTCGTCTCTGTGAGACAGTGATACCATCCATCTTTGAGATATGAAAATAACTCCATAAAGTTGTTCACAGTTCCATCTGAACATTCTGTTACCTAGAAACTAAATTATAAACTTAATCTCCAAAAATTTTTATATTAAATTATAGGGAGGTTTCTGGCCAGAAGGGCATAGATTCACCCTCTTACCTAGAATAACTGATAGCTTACTATCTGAAGAAAGCCTTCCAGCTGCAATACAAGGAGGAGGAACTTTGGCAGAGTACTATCATCTTTCTGGGCTGAGGAGAAAAAGCTAGAAGTACTGTACAGGGAAGGTAATACAGCTAGGATGCATAGGGAAGTATACAGAAAATGAGTGTTGCACAGAAAGAGAACTCTAGAGACAAGTAAAGGTCCCTATTAGTATTCAGCTGAGAACTGATCATTGCATGTGTGTGAGGAAACTAAGTCAGGAAAAACACCATCTGAAGAAAAGGAGCACTCCCCAAAGCTCACATACACTAGGAACAGAGCTTATTTCCAACAGCTAAGGTAGAGACCACAGAACTCAGGGGGATCAAGGAGAAGACTTAGAAATTTTTTTGCCTCAGTAGTAGAAAAGCATTAATCTTTCATTTAACACCACTCTGAATCTAACAAATAGCCTAAAATCAAGACTCAAAGGAGATCAATCTATTTCCAATTAACTTAAAAGTTACTAGAACAAAGTTCAAGAATATTTTGTATTTGTAAGAATACAAAAATATCCCACATTCAATGAGGTTAAGATTCACATGGCTGGGGGCCGGGGATTTAGCTCAGTAGTGCCGCGCCTGCCTAGCAAATGCAAGGTCCTGAGTTCAATTCCCAGTACCAGGGGGTGGGGGGGAATATTCACATGGTGGGCATGCAAACAAAAAAATCAGACACAAAACATACAACTCATAAGGAGGATAAAAATTAATCTATAGAAAATGTTCCAGAGATAACACAGATAGAATTAGACAAAGGTGTTAACAGTTATTAAAATTATATTGCATATATTTAATAAACCAGATGAAAGATTGAACATGTCAGTAGATATAAAAATAACACAGGGAAGAATGTGTTTTATATATAGAATGTATAATAAAAGACTCAAATTGAATTACTAGAGATAAAAATAATAACAAATGAGATTTAAAAACACTGTATGGCATTTATGATAAATCAGATAATCCAGAAAAATGATTAATGAACTTGAAGACAAAACAATAAAAAACTATCCAGTGGGAAAAAAAAACTATGAGACATCAGGAAAAAAGACAAAAAAAAAAAAAAGAACAGAGCACCAGTGAGATATGAGGTAGCTTCAAGTAGCCTAATAGACCTGTAACTGACATCCATGGGGAAAACGAGAAAGAAAAAAATAATTGAAGAAATAATAACCCCCAAATTTCTAAATTTCATTAAAACTATAAAGCTAAAAATACAAAAAGTTCAATGAACCCAAAACATAAGAAACATGAAGAAAATGAACCTATGGCACATCATAATCAAATCATTTAAACGAATGATTACGAGATAATCTTAAAAGAAGCCACAGAAAAGCCCATGTACAGAGGAATAAAGGATAGACTTGGTGGCTTTTTTGGACAGTGAGGAAACACTTTTAATATTCTGAAAATAATTTAAAAATTACCCAGTAAAATATATATTTCAGATAGTTTACTCTACAGCACTAATGTGAGAAAAAAGCCATAGTAGTTCCTACTTGAAGCCATGTAGTTCTAACCCACAGAACAATGAAAATGGAAAGGACTTAGGCTATGGGCAGGACAAGCAGAGGTAAAAGTTACTTAAACTAGTAGAGGACAGATCAAGTATGCAGGGCCTCCATGCTTGTATTTACCATACTAAGATGGGAGCAACAGAAAGAACGAATAGGATTTCTGGAAAATCTAGACAAGGACTTGAGCCAAGCACCTTGCTGGCTGGACTCCTGGTTTTTCCCATGACTTATGCAGTCTGGGGAAAGAGTACCCTATCGATACCATTTTTTTTTTCATTTCAAGTATTTCTAACAAAACAAGACAGTAAATAAATGTAATCAATTTTGTAAAGTGCCCTCAGCTTCTATATAAATAGAAGAGAATGAGAGAAGTGCTGACTTCTTGGAAGGATTTATACTTACTAAGTTTTATTTAGTTTTTCAAACTAACCTAGTTGGCTACAAATGAAGGTAAGTCACAATAATTACCTAGCACAATAAATCCAATGGATCATTAGGTTGAGCCATTAAAGGCTCTCTTGGTTTGGAAAGGAGGACTAGAAGTGCTCTTCATTCTTTATAGTACACACATTGTGCTCAGCATTAATAATATGTCACAGGTCCACATGTTCTTTTGGAGCTTCCAAGAGAGGATACTGTGAGGAGGACAGGACGACACACAGTGCGAGTCACACATAAAATGCAGATACATTAAGAATTATGAAAAATAGGCATCTTTAACAAACAACAACATTTTAAAGCTGTGGTACCTGTAAAACAGTATGTATGACAGTATTTTTTTTTCCTTCAGGTGTCTGGCCTTGACATTTTCTTGGACTATGAGTATCTCTTTGAACTTTGGCTTTGAAATATGAATAAATAAAATCTGGAGGAAGAAATCCTCTTATGAGACAAGGACAAGAAGTAGCTACCCAGCTCCTGTGTCCTGGAGAATCAATCATGCAGAAACCAGGTGTTTGGCTTTTCCAGCGTCATGTTCAAAGCAGTCTTCCATGTTCTATTAAGAAGGGGGACAGAAGTGGTTAGTTTAAAGGGAAAGGTTGGGAAGATACGTACCATGCTTCTGACACTAGTTATTTTCAGAGGCTGGAAATGGAAGGGAGTGATGACAAATTATTTAAACATTTTTAAATAGTTTTGAATTATTTCATTTGTTACATAAAGCACACATAAATCTTGTAATTAAAATATTAATAAGGAACACTGTTAAAGTAACTACTTGTTCATTTAAAAAAGTTAAAAGAGGGTCTTCTGCGTGAGCATGTGAATCGCTGCCTGCCTCCTAGCCATGCCTCTTCACATCCCCAAGGCCCCGGGCTTTGACCAGATGCTCAAGGAGGGAGTGAAACATTTTTCAGGATTAGAAGAGGCTGTGTATAGAAATATACAAGCTTGCAAGGAACTAGCCCAAACCACTCGTACAGCATATGGACCAAATGGAATAAACAAAATGGTTATCAACCACCTGGAGAAGTTGTTTGTGAAAAATGATGCAGCAACTATTTTAACAGAGCTAGAAGTACAGCATCCTGCTGCAAAAATGATTGTAATGGCCTCTCATATGCAAGAGCAAGAGGTTGGAGATGGCACAAACTTTGTTCTGGTCTTTGCTGGAGCTCTTCTGGAATTGGCTGAAGAACTTCTGAGGATTGGCCTGTCAGTTTCAGAGGTTATAGAAGGTTATGAAATAGCCTGCAGAAAAGCTCATGAAATTCTTCCTGATTTGGTATGTTGTTCTGCAAAAAACCTTCGAGATGTTGAGGAAGAGTTGTCTCTACTTCGTACCTCCTTAATGAGTACACAATATGGTACTGAAGCATTTCTAGCCAAGCTTATTGCTCAGGCATGTGTATCTATTTTTCCTGACTGGCCATTTCAATGTTGATAACATCAGAGTTTGTAAAATTCTGGGCTCTGCTATCTTTTCCTCTTCAGTATTGCAAGGCATGGTTTTTAAGAAAGAAACTGAAGGTGATGGAACATCTGTCAAAGATGCAAAAATTGCAGTGTATTCATGTCCTTTTGATGGCATGATAACAGAAACTAAGGGAACAGTATTGATAAAGACAGCAGAAGAATTGATGAATTTTAGTAAAGGAGAAGAAAATCTCATGGATGCACATGTCAAAGCTACTGCTGACACTGGTGCAAATGTTGTAGTAATAGGTGGCAAAGTGGCAGACATGGCTCTTCATTATGTAAACAAATATAATATCATGCTGGTGAGGCTTAACTCAAAATGGGATCTCAGAAGACTATGTAAAACGGCTGGTGCCACAGCTCTTCCTAGATTGACTCCTCCTGTCCTTGAAGAAATGGGACACTGTGACAGCGTTTACCTCTCAGAAGTTGGAGACACACAGGTGGTGGTTTTTAAGTATGAAAAAAAAGATGGTGCCATTTCTACTATAGTACTTCGAGGCTCTACTGACAATCTGATGGATGATATCGAAAGGGCAGCAGATGATGGTGTTAACACTTTCAAAGTTCTCACAAGGGATAAACGTTTTGTACCTGGAGGTGGAGCAACAGAAATTGAACTGGCCAAACAGATCACATCATATGGAGAGACCTGTCCTGGACTTGAACAGTATACTATTAAGAAGTTTACTGAGGCTTTTGAAGCTATCACACAGGCACTGGCAGAGAACTCTGGAGTTAAGGCCAATGAAGTAATCTCTAAGCTTTATGCAGTACATCAAGAAGGAAACAAAAATGTTGGATTAGATATTGAGGCTGAAGTTCCTGCAGTAAAGGACATGTTGGAAGCTGCTGTTCTAGATACTTACCAGAGAAAATACTGGGCTATCAAATTGGCTACTAATGCTGCAGTCACTGTACTTAGAGTTGATCAGATCATCACGGCAAAACCAGCTGGTGGACCCAAGCCTCCAAGTGGGAAGAAAGATTGGGATGATGACCAAAATGAGTGACTGGTTTAATTCTTACTGTAGACACAGCATTTGTAGTAGTACTTTAGGAATTCCTAATGTTTTCTTACTCTCCTTAAATTAAGAGTGTTTGTTTCCTCGGCTGAATGATACAATAAACATTGTTACTGCTAAAAAAAAAAGTTAAAAGAGCGTTTGTATATAATGCACAGCATGCCATGTTAAAAAGAACTAGTAAGCTGGCCAAACGCTAAAATTCCAAAGGCCAATTATTCATTTATAGCCGAAGTTTTTATGAGGCAGAAACACTGGGGTAGCCTCTGGGGTTTTATAACATTTTCCCTGGCCTGAGCTCATATTGTAAGGAACAGCCCAGCAAATTCCCCTGGAATTAAATGAAGAAACATGAATGATGTCTTAGCACAGTGCCTGGAAATAGTGTGTGCCCTAACTCACAAATGGGTTCCATATAGTCAGGGTCATTTACATCCTGCTAAGTTGGAACCTTTTTTGTCCTCCTGGAGTAAATATCACATACATTACGGAAAAGAGGGATGGAGGGCTCCTCAAAGTGCAACGTAACACTTTCCTCTGTGAGTTCCTGTCCTGCTACAAATAGACACTACTTCTAACCTTCTCCTATGAGTGTTTCTTAGGCCTCCCTACAACTGCCATGAATAAGCGGGGTGCTTCCCTAATGGACCATGCTCTAGTTTTCCAAGTTGCTAGGATCTTCATTATTTTTCAGTTTTAGTACTATTAACATTTTGGGTCCAGGGATTCATTGCTAGTGCCTGACCTGTGTATTGTAGGATATAGTGGTATCTCTGGTCTTTACCCGTAAGTTCTCATAATACCTTCTGTGTTCCCTCTCAAACAAAAATGTCTCTAGATAGTGTCAAGTATCACTGAAGGACAAAATCACCTCCCAATTGAGAACCACTGTCCTACATCATAAGACAGAAGACAGAAGGATATTTTTAAAATCCAAATTGCATCATGTTACTCCCCTGCTGAAAACCTAAAGGTCTTCCATTAACCTCAGAATAAAACCTAAGCTCCTTACTGTGACTTACAAGGTCTTCTATGAGTTTTCCCCTACCTACCTTTAATCTCCTTTCTCCCATACGATCCTTTCCCTCACTTACCAAACTAAAGCCACACTAGTTGTCTCTTTTTTTTTTTTTTTGGTACCAGGGATTGAACTCGGGTCCTCATGCTTGCGCAGTAGGTGGTGAAACCACTGAGCTAAATCCCCGGCCCTAGTTGTCTCTCTTTTTTTTTTTTTTTTTAAAAAAAAAACTCAATCGTGTCCCTATCCGTTTTCTGTACTTGTTATTCTTTCTGCCTAGAATGCACTCCCTCTAGACCTCTGTATGACTCACTGTTCACTAATACAATGATACACCCATCAAATATTACCTAATAAGCAAGGCCTTCCCCGACCATTTTATCTAAAGAGCTTCTTTAATCTTTATACTCTATCATACTACCCATTTTTTTCCTTCATGGAGCTAATAACAATAGAAAAGACTTTTGTTTTCTCATTTGTTGTCTGCCTCTCTACCAGAGCAGAAACTCCACCAGAGCAGGAATTCTTGTTCTTCTCTGCTATAGCTCAAGTGCTCAGAACAGTGCCTGATACAGAGTAGGTACCCTATAAATATTCCTCTTCCCATTCTTCCTCAAACCTCAGTTCAGGTTTCAATGACCTCTCACTTTCCTTTCTAAGATTATTTTTGGTCATTGGTGAATTCACTTTGGTTTTTAACAAAATCTGACCTATGTGTATTTAGTAGTACATTTAACTGGATGTGGTGGCAGATGCCTGTAATTTCAGAAGGAGGCAGGATGCATGAAGCAGGATGATCTAAAGTTTGAGCTCAGCCTGGGTTACTTAGCAAGACCTTGTCTCAAAATAAAAAAATTAGAAAGGTAGTAGGAATGTAGATCAGTGCAAAGGTCTTGGGTTCAACTCCCCAGAGCTATACACACAGGAAAAAAAAAAGACCCAAAACTTATTATTTTGGAACATAAACAAAGACCAGTTAATAATTTATGCCCCAGAGATTTTCAGCAGCCACGTAATCACTCCAGGAATTATAATTTCAGTTTGGTCTCTCTTCAGAAGTTTTAAATGGTGAAGTCTTTTAGGGGCTAAGAATTCAAAACTCACCTGGTTCAGAGACTCAATTTCTTTGTCCATCAACCCAATTTATACAGGATCATGGGGCTGAAAATCCTTCGTCTTGGCTTCCAGTTAAAATAGTTCACTGGGTCAAAAGTAGGATGGTCCAAGGTGCAGTATGGTCAATAAAGGCCAGAAAGGGCAGTTTGGCTATTTCTCACATTGATTTATGGGCTGTTTTCATGAAATCAAAGATGACTGGTCCTCTTGGCAGCCGGCTGACTGGAAGCTAGAAGCACTTCTGTCCTGGCTAATGGCCATGGCCCTTGGAGAGTATTTCATCGAGTCGTTTTCACGTTCTGGCGTGCAGCCTGCTTGTCCCGCCGAACCGGGCTCTCCATGCGGTGCAGAGATGTCTCTACCCGGAGGGACGAGGCCCTGATGTGGTGGGAGGTCGTTTCTGAGCGCTGCGAGGAGGTTTCCACGTGCTGGGAAGTCACCTCGAGGACATGTGGGAGCCGCTTTCCAGAGGGGTAATGAGAAGGCTCTTCATGGTGGCGCTGGGTGGTCTCCACTTGCCGGGAAGACGTTCGCACCTGCCGAGATAATGTCTCCACGCGGTGGGACGATGTCTCCACGCGGACTGTCGAGGTCTCTTTACAGTGAGTGGTCTCCACCCGTGGCACAGAGGGCTTTCCCCTCAGAGGTGAAGCCATTCTCCCAGAGTTAGTGGACCAAAAGAGAGCAGTAGGGCCTGCTCACAGCCTACTACCACAACCTCTGTTACTCCTCTGCGTTACGCCATAGGGTAAAATGATGTCAGAGCGGCGTGTGACGTCACTGCACGCTCAGAGCAGAAAAATACGATGCTGTTTTAAGACATTATGACGTGGAAGCACCACGGTTCTGAGGGGGCTGAACTGTCCCTCCAAAACACTGGGCCATACCCTTAGTGTGCTTCTTCGGTTACAACTCGCCCCCTCGCCGTTTAGGAGCCGGCGAAGGTGGGACTGAGCCGGGCAAGTAGACTAGGGATGGGCGGAACCGACCACCTCGGGGCGGGGTTATGACCGCCCCCGTATCCCACACGGCCCCGCAACCGGAAGGGAGAACCGTGGTTTCCGGAACCCCCCCCCCGCCCGCCATTCGGGGGTGTCCGTCTGTGGTGGTGGTGGTGGTGGTTTAGGGTCTTTGCTCGTTATGGCCGCTGCCGTCGCTATGGAGACAGGTGAGTAGCGAGCTAAGACTCGGATCTTTGAAGAAGGTGCTGCCTCGCTCAGACCTCTTCTCCTGCTTCCCAGGGGCTTCCTATCAGGCCGACATCCCTTTGCAGGGTTAGAATTGACATCGGGAGAGGATTAGGATCTTTTGGCTTCTGGAGGGGCGAAGACAGTTTTGCCTTTTTCAGAATTTGGTTTGGTCGAACATCATTTCTTCTAGCGTACTGTTCAAACATCGACTCCATCGACTACTTGTAGGGTAGACTACTCAGATCTTAAACTGTTTCCTTTTATTGGTTTTCTACTTCTCACTTGAGTTTGAATGTTTCAGATATCCCAGATAAGCTTGTGTATCGTTCTGCTGTTACTGCCTCTCACGATTTTTTTTTTTTATGGTTTTGTTTTGCAGTAGTAGGCAAGCGCTTTACCATTGAACTAAACCCCAGTCCTTTTTGAGAAAGGATCTCTTTAAATTACCCAGGTTGGTCCTGGCTTCGAATTTAGGATCCTCCTAACTCGGTTGCCTAAGTAGGTGGGATTACAAATGTGCGCCTTCCTGTCTTGTCACGATCCCCTATACATTAGTTTCTTTTTCCCTCCGAACTTTTTTCCTGATTGACTTAGCATTTAGTTTTTGCCCAATTTAATCACTGTGAGCAAATGTGGTTATAAAATATTAAAATCGGGGAAGGTTAAGATACCACAACCTACATCAGCGATCACTGTTAACATACCTATATAATGTCTCACAAGTCTTTGGTATCATGCCCATTTGTTTTCCTGTTTTTAAAAATTATTATTATGACTTCTATTTAACTTTAGAGATAATCCTAACATTCCTTTAAATCAGGGCTTTGTTTTTCTTAGATTTTTAAGGAAGATTTCTTCTGTCTTACTCAGTTTAGGAAGTCCACCACATGCTTTTCATAGAAGAGTGTATCTCAGCATTAGGATCCTTGCTGTTTCCTTTTTACAAAATTGTTGCATATGCTAATCTTTATTTTGAATAATGCTTGCTATCTTCTCTCCTAGATGATGCTGGAAATCGACTTCGGTTTCAGTTGGAGTTGGAATTTGTTCAGTGTTTAGCCAACCCAAATTACCTTAATTGTGAGTTATTGAGCAACTCATTGAGTAGCTGCTAGCTGTTACTGATTTCTGACAAAAGGAATGAAATGCATCGGCCTTTTGGCTAAGATCAAGTGTAGGAATGCAATGCATAACAGCACTTACCTTTATATATTCTTTTTTTTTTTTTTTGGTACCGGGGATCGAACTCGGTATACATTCTTTTTTTTTTTTTTTTCGGATAAAATAATAAAATTTCTTCCTCGTTATACATTCTCAATTGAATGGGATTTTACTTATGCTGGCCTGTAGATATATTTCAGCAAACAAATTTGATATATTTGAGCAAGCAAGACATGTGTTTTGAATTCATTATGTATTGGTAGTGGGGATGTTAAATAGATTCTTTATATTAGGGATATAAGTCAGGAGTCCAAGGGTTTGTTTGACCTACAGTTTAAAAAATTAAAAAAAAAATTTTTTTTTTTTTACTTTCAGTTCTTGCCCAAAGAGGTTACTTCAAAGACAAAGCTTTTGTTAATTATCTTAAGTACTTGCTTTACTGGAAAGAACCAGAATATGCCAAGTATCTAAAGTAAGTTTACTTTTTCTAATCCTAAATATGTATATTCTTTATTGTAATCCAAAGCACTGATACTTAGCAGACTTAGTTTCACATTGGAAAAAATATATTTTAAATCTATTCCCTTCTGGTGGTTACCACTTAATATAAGACACTTTTATCTCTATCTTGGAGGGGGTTGGTCTCTTTTAGTGTTTGGAGAGGTGAAAACAGTTTTGCCTTTTTCAGAATTTGGTTTGCTTGAACGTCTTCTAGCATACTGTTCAAACATTGACCCCATCCATATTTCCTCCTCCCATTCTTACTCTGCTGTCCTCAAACCAGACAAAGCAAATCAGTTTCTTACACAGAAGCCAATTTAAGTCTCTCAAAAATGTAAATCCCAGAACATACTACTTTACTTAGATCTTTTCATTAGCCTTCCATTAAACAATGCTCAGAAAGTGATATTTAAACAGGTGTTTTCTGGAGGAGGTAACCTTCTCTTTCCTTGCTTCCTTTCTTTTTTTTTTTGTTTTTGTTTTTTGAGACAGGGTCTTGCTATGTATTCTAGGCTGTTCCTGAACTCACTGTGTAGCACAGGCTGGCCTTGAATGTGCAGCAATCCTCCTGCCTCAGCCTTCCAAATGCTGGGATTACAGGTGTGCGTCAGCTGAGATGTTATCTTTTCTTTAGGACCTCCTGTGTGCCAAGCAGGGTACTACATGGTTCTCATCCATTTACTGACTTTAAAAACAAAGCAAAACCAAACAAAATACACACACACATATATACCGTTCAGGTTGTTCAACAGACACTTTTAAGACTAAATGGCAAGCATATTATATCCACAATCTAATTCCACTGTCATGGTAAAAAACCCCAAAAACCTTAAATTCACATCTCTGCTTTGTCTTAGGTAATCAAAAAGCAATAGTGAAACTTTAAAAAAAGAAAAAAACAAAAGTTTGAGAGGAAAATGTTTCAAGTGGTTCTTCAAATCACTTTTCTGAAGAGACAAAGCGTACATCTTTCTTACATTGTGATAATACCTTCTTGAAGCTTTAACCTGTTCCTATTTTCATTTTTGGATTCATCCAGAATCAGCCTATTCCTTCTTGGAGACAACAGCTATATAGACACTTAAATTCAAAAAGCTGCATGTGGTGGCACATGCCTGTAATCCCAGCACTCTGGGAGGCTGAGGCAGGAGGATCACAAATTTGAGCCCAGCCTGCACAACTTAATGAGACCTTATCTCAAAATAAAAAAGGGCTGGGGATGTAGTCCAGTGTAAAGGCTCAGGGTTTAATCTTCTGTACCACCACCACCACCAAGAAAAAAAAGTTGCAGATTAACCCATTGAGGTATTTCATCCAGTCTGCACAAAGTTTTAGATTTTTTTAAATAGTAGCCAACATTTAAAGATGTAAGGCTTTATATAACAATTCAGATTTCCAGCTACTCTTTAAAAATCAGGAAGCGCTAGTAACCCCAGGTCTTCATTTTCCCAAATCATTAACTGGCTGGAGCTGAGGGCACCTGCCTCTTGTAAACATTATCTACCAGTTGGTCTTCTCCATTGAGAACTAGTACTTGCAACGGTAACATCTTTTTCTTAGCTTACTTTAGTCATTTCGTAATTATGATTTCCATACTTCTCCCATGAGTCCAGGCACTTTCCTTTGGATAGTTGGCACTTGGGCCTTAGCCCATTCAACCAGAAACTAAACATGGGCTTCAGTTGTGGCCATGGCACAGTAGACCAAATGGCATTTCTTTTCATCATATGGATGTTACATTTCTAATAATTCAGTTTGGGTTGATGTTATTTATTTATTTATTTATTTATTTATTTAGAGCTAGGGAGGGTAGAGGAGCCGAGCCCACTGTTGGCTTGGTGGGAGATTTGTGTCAACTAAAATCCTTTATTTTCATCTATGTTGTCATTTGACTTCTCCATTTCTATCTTGTTTCTTTAAAAAAAATCTAAATGCAAGACTTTGTTTTTGTACCTCTTCTATTTCATCTTGTTAACTTGTAGCCTATGAGAGAATATTGTAGCCTTTCAGAGAATTTTTATAATTTCTAATTCTGTCATCTAATGCATTCTGAGTATTATTTTCAAGTTTGATATGATAAATGATCACTGCCCGTCTAAATTCCGGTTATTGACTAAATGACTAAATGCTACTGGAGACCATTTTCTTGGTTTTCACATTAATTTTTTAACAGATGAAGAAACTGAACTCTTAGGTTAAGTATCCTTCTCAAGGCCACCCAGCTGGTACTTGGATCCAAATCTTTTTAACTACTGTTGCTATTATGAAAAGGATTTAGTCAGGGCAGTGTGAATAGAGTATTTTAGGTTAGGCTACCAACAATTACAGGCCACTGTTTGTTTTCGGAGTGTAAAAAGCAAACCTTAGGACAGCATAGTATCAGCCTTAACATGGCTCTCTATTTAATGTCTTGAGACCTCCAGTGTTGGTATCATCTGGGAGCTTGTTAGAAGTGCAGAGATCAGTCTACACCTCAGACCTTCTGAACCCGAGTCTGTATTTTAAGAATTGATTCGTGTGCATATTAAAGTTTAAGAAAGACTGCTCTAGTTTACAGTCTATTTCCCAAACTTCAGTTGGTTTCTTATCATTTCTACAGTTCTGGCTCTCTGTATTCCCTGTATGATTTAATTTTAATGTATTTTCCATTACTTAAATTTTACTTTTCAATTTGAAATAATTGCACTTAGACAATAGATGGAAGAATAAAGAGAATTTCTTGTATTCTTCACCCAGATATTTTAAATGTTAACACCTTGTATAACCACAGTACAATGATCAAAATCAGAACATTAATGTTATCTTATTACATAATCCCATTCAGATTTTGCCAGTTGTTCCAGTGGTCTCCTATATGTAGTAATCTTCAGTCTAGGCTCATAAGGTGCATTTTGTTATGTCTTCTTAGTCTCCTTTAATCTGTGTTCCTTGGTGTTTTTTTTTAAACCTCTGACTTATTCAGAAGTGCTGTGTTCTTGGTATATCCTATTAGGAGTAACATGATGTCTGTCTTACTATTGGTGATGTTAATTTTGATCACTTGCTCAATATGGTGTCTTTTAGATTTCTCCATATAGAGTTATTTTCCTTGTGTATGTGTCTCATGGGAAAATACTGAGACTAAATATTACATAAACTTTTTGCCCACTAACTTTAGCATTATTGAAGATACTTGCCTGAAACAATTTTTACTGAGGTTTTTTAATTCCATCATTTTGCATTTATTACTTGAGATATTATTGTAAGGAAGAACATTCCCTTGTTACTTATTAAAAACATTTATATCAGTATGGACTTTTGGATTTTTATTCTGTGGATTGCAATTATGTTCTTTTCTTGCTTAAATTATTCTAGACTGGGAGCATCTTCAAATTGGCTCCTGAGTACTTTTGACATATCCGTATTTATATTTAGTATTACATAATGTTCCAAGTTTATCTTATGCTTTCCTGACCCTAGCCCTGGAATTAACCATTTCTCCAAAATACCATGGAAAATGCTATTTGAAAAACATGAATGGACAGTAAGTGTGGTCATTGGTACCCCAGAATCATTTCTTCTAGGCCCTTTTACCATATACATTAGAACTTTATGTGTTTGTATATATGTGTATATATGTACACACATACATATCTCTGTCTTCTCCTATATGTGTGTTAAAACTCATGAGTACATACTGACTGAGATTTTCAATTCCAGCCCAGTAATATGGATTCACTCTAGGGTCCGTCCCCAGCCCACCGCCCCATCTGTAACTCCTTTTCTGATAGCCCAAAATTTGGCTCTCTTTTATTCACTTAAAATATACTTATTTGCTCAGTCTTAGAGTATACATAAAGTAATTTCAAATTGCCATAATCCCTGTGGAAAACTAGAGCACAATATTTGGACTTAGTTCTTTTTGAAGTTGATTTACTTTTAAATAAAATTTGTCTTTTTATCACTAATGATGGAAAACCAAGTTATTAGTTATGCACATATTAATGTTCATGTTTCTCACCCTAGAAACTACCAGAATGCAATGTTATCATTTATCTCCAAATTTCGACTCTGCTTACTAGTTATTGTGTTGTGTAGTCTTGAACAAGTTGTTCTTTTTGAATTTAAATTTTCCCACTTTTGAAAGTTTTGCTTAAAACTTTTGCTTAAAGTTTTGGTGACTAGCTTTTCTGTGTAAGCAGAGGGAAAAAAAAATCTATGCTCAATGTACTGAATTAATGTTAATAGAAATTATAGACTAAAGACAATTTTAAGTGAGTAACCAAATTAAAACTTGGCATTATTGACTTAAATTATGTTGATCATTAACCTATAACTTAAACCCAGGTACCCTCAGTGTTTACATATGTTAGAACTGCTCCAATATGAACACTTCCGAAAGGAGCTGGTGAATGCTCAGTGTGCGAAATTCATTGATGAACAGCAGATTCTACACTGGCAGCACTATTCCCGGAAGCGGATGCGTCTTCAACAAGCCCTGGCAGAACAGCAACAGCAAAATAACACATCAGGAAAATGAACAGCTGGAAAGAGCTCAGGGTCTTAAGACATGTATATAATGTTTTTCATTGTACAGTGAAGATAAAATAAGACTCCTCTTCCTGCCTACCTTTATTGTGGTAGCACCTGGAACCTTTAATGTGCTTTTTAATCCAGCTTTTTTATTGTTAATAGATTGTTGAACCAGAATTGTTCTACTTTGATTATCCTGTGAATTTGTAAGTTTTTATTAGCATTTAACAATCAACAGGAAAGAATGGACATGTTAAGTGCTTTAGATCTGTTTATGGAAGTGATGGGCATGGGAGAAGGGTGGGGTACCAAGTACACAAAACTCTCAGCCTAGTTGTTTCTGATATATGATAGTGCCTTGGGCAAGTCCATCTTTGGAACTGTCTCTCACATCAGCTGTCTATATGTCTTATCTACAGAATGAGAGGACTGGAGTTAAGGATCTCTTAAGTCAGAGCAGGAAGTGCAGTATATAAAGGTTCTTATATTCCGCAGAAGAGGACGTGATCTGTATTACCCGTTTTGCAAGATAGCTTTAATGTAGAATCATTGGTATGTCGCTACACTGGTGATGGAGAGAGAAGATTGGTGGTAAATTGCTAATTGCTTTGACCTTAAATTAGGACAAAGATGAGGTGCCTCAAATGCTTCTGCTTATTAGGGAAAGTTAACATTTATTTGGCCAGTACCAAAAGCCAGGTGCTACATTAAATGCTTTCAATGCATTCTCATAATAGTGACAGAATTACCCTTCTTTGTAAAGGGGGAAACTGAGGTTTAGACAGCTTAAGTAACTCACAAGTTACACATGTAGTAAGTGGTAGAATCAGTGTGTCTGACTCACATGCTGAAGTTCTTCCCATCACTAGGTTATGTAGTCTCCATTTCCTTTTTGTCCCCTGCCTCATCCCAAATGAAGCACATTCAGACAGCTGTAAAATCTGCTTGATTTAAGAAGACTGCATTAGGTATGCTATACTTTCTCTCAGTAGTTTGGTTAAGTTCTACATTCCAAAGACAAGGAAGGGGTTTTAGGAATATCAATTCCTTTGCAAATTCAAGGAATTTAAGGTAAAAGATCCTTATCCCTTCAGAGTTTTGGGATAGGCTGTCCAGTTACTATTGGGAGCTTTTAGCTATTTGTCACCTCCAATCTGTTTCTTTGAACCATTACTGCCACTGCTGAAAACTTATTTTACTCGTATCTTTGAGATACCATATGTTACAAGCCAGATGAAGGTTTGTATTTTTTTTTTTTTTTTCTTGGTACGGGGTGTCAAACTCGGGTCCTTGTGCTTGCGCAGCAGGTGGCGAAACCACTGAGCTAAATCCCTGGCCCTGAAGGTTTGTATTTTGATAGCATTATTTATTACTTAGACATACACTGATTTTAACACCATTTATTTATTGCCAACGTGAATTCAAAGGAAGTACAAAGTTTCTTTTATACTAGAGCAAACCAGGAAATCAAGACACAAGTGCCATCATTGAATCTTAATCTTCAGAGAACAACATCTCCACAAGGTTGTCTTCAAGACACTCAGATTCTACCAGTTTTTGAGGCTGTAAGAAAAGAAAAGTGTTAGCCACTTTTGTAAAATGTTATTAGGAGTGGTGTGAGTTCTGCTTTGATGACATTAATCTTTGAACACAGAAATTATGCCATTCAGAAACTACCAACTAGTTATAACAAGTTTTATGAAACAGTTATTTGTCTTAAGATGAATCATTAAAATACTTGGCTCAAGGGCCTTAAGCCCCAAATACCAGGAAGCTCCAGACTGAAACAGGAATCAACAAGCCCAATGCCATCCCTTTTCCGTCAACTGTTTAGTATTCCAGGGGCCATGACTGAAACAGAGGAGATGCCCTTTCAACCTGAGTAATGGTTTAAGTAGAAAACTATTCATGCAAGTGCTTTAAGGAATTATGAGTCAACCAACTTTCTCAGTGTAGAATTGTTAAAGTGGCTCAAAAATATGAAAAAGACCTATTTATTTCCATTATTCATAGTTTACTGGGATTGTTCAGGGCAATGGACAGCCAAGTTGTATGTTTTTAATGCACTGTGAAAGGCAGTGTGATACTTGAAATGTTAAGATCCTTCCAAAGATCCTAGAACAAGTTAAAAGTTTCAGTGAATTACAGCCCCAACGTAAAGGTACTCACCGTTCCATATTTCAGGAGCGTAGGCACCGCAGTTATTTTCAGTTTTTTTCTGAAATCATTATTTGGATCTTTCCAACTATTCCACAAAGAAAAAGTGATCAAGAAAATTCTTGATTTATTACAGTTTGCTTAGTATTTCATATATTCCTACATTTAGGGTTTTAGTAATTATTTTGTAAACATTTAAAAAACCTTGAGGACTATGACAATACCCTCTGCAGAATTTTTAATTAAACTGACTTAAGATATAAAATAAATGTAAAGCAGTTAAGTTTTGAACTTACACTAGGCCACATATTTTGAATTACTCTCAATTCAAGTAGCTGAAACATTCACGATGTAAACTTTAATGTAAGAGGTTCTAATTGTTTAATTATTAGACTTTACCTTAGAACACAGACCCTGAGTAAATCTCTAAGGCCTTTTCCACCAAAGTTTGCATGAGTCTAGTGCACGTCTGAAATATAGCACATATTGCTACTTACTACGATTTTTCTCCTACTTGGCAGTAGATGAACACACATCCTTCACTAACATGCTTCAGCCCTGCTCGAACGACTGGTTCAGCTGTTTAAAAATTAATATAAAATCATACATCAATTCTACAGTCCCCTCCTCTCCCCCAGGTCTTGATAAGTACTCAGACTTTCACCTGCGGTTAGACTTTGAGTTAGCCCAGGAAGTTAACAGAAGTCAGGTTGTTCTCTTCAGGTCTTAGAGCCTCTTTTAAGAGTAAAGACCCAAGTCCAAATCCTCATTGTCCTCATGCCACACTCCCAGAACAATGGAAGGCGTATTTGCTGACTAAAAGGAGACCAGCTCATGTCCTCTAAAACACGACTTTGAGGAAGTGAGAAATTTTAAAGAACTGGATTACAAGATCATCTGGGTCGGATGGTAGAGGCGCAGCACCCTGGACAAGGCGTGCAGGGAATTAACAGGAGGAGACGAGAAGCTCACATACTCCGTGGATCTCCGGGACCAAGCCTTCCTCCTCTGGTACTTTACCCTGCGTTCTGGACATAGGCTCCGCTTTCCTACCACTTCTGGGCAGTAGCCCCTGAGTCCTGGCCTCACCTTGCACACAGTCAGGACACCAGCTTTTTCCTTCAGCATCCTTAGAACCGCTAAAGTAGGCGAAAATGGTCTTGCCCTGGTGCTGCTCCACAGCCTGGTTGAATTCCTCGAAGCCGGACACACGCACCTCTTCGTAGGCAGCCATAGGGACAGCAAACACTTAGCGGAGGAGGAGCCCTGAGGTTCCGTCGCTAGAGGGCGGGGCCCATGTGGGGATGGCAGAAGCCGTTTCCGGAGGGTGGTGGTAGGGCGGAGCTCGGGAAGTCGGCGCTACGGAATCCTGTGCAGTCCATAACTCACCTGCCTTGTCTTCCTGCTCCCGTTTCTCAGTTCTTTCAGGGTACTTCCCTCCCAAAAGCGAGCTTGTAAGCGCCAATCTGGTTCTGGTTTCAGCCCCAGGGACACTGATTGCAAAACTTGCTGTTGTGCGACCCCTAGACCCTTAAGTGGCTCGGCTGCTCTAACTGCTCCCAATCCACTTTGCGCCTGTTGCTATGACGACTGGGCGAGTGGCCGGAAGCCAGGCCTACTTCGAGGATCCCCCCCCCC